TGCTGCTAGAACACTGTGAGCTGGTGGACACACCTGGCGCCAGGGCCTTCCTGCTGGAACCAGACTCACAGCATGCTTCCCTCGCTGCTGATGCTGTGCTCTCGCATTTCCTGCAGCACTTTTCTCGCCACTCTCCTGCCAGGAAGCTTCCCCACACATTCTTTCATGCCCCTTAAGGGCGGCTTTTTAAAAAGACAATTGATTTTAGAAAGAGAGTGGGTGGGGAATACCAATTTGTTGTTGCACTTATTTCTACATTCATTGGTGGACTCTTGTGTGTGCCCTGGCCAGGGATCAAACCCACAATCTTGGTGTATCAGGACGACGACACTCCAACCACCTGAGCCACTGGGCCTGCGCCAGGGCGTCTTCTTTAATAGCAGGGATCTGTTCTTTCCTGGGCGTAGTTTTTAAATCAACTTTTTTTGTTAATCCTCACCCGAGGATATTTTTCCATTGATTTTTAAAGAGAGTGGAAGGGAGAGGGGCTGAGAGAAACATCGATTTTGGTTGCCTCCTGCAGGCGCCCTGACCAGGGCCCAGGCCTGGGAGGAGCCTGCAACCAAGGTACGTGCCCTTGACCGGAACCGAACCCGGGACCCTTCAGCCCACACTCTCTCCAGGGAGCCACACCGGCCAGGGCTCTGGGTGGAGCTTTACCTGACGTGCGTGCACAGATGCATTTGGCATGTGCTTGTGCTCGGTGTGTTAGATGCCAGTGCTTCTTCCCTCTTGTCTGTTTTGCACGCGTGAGTGAGAGAGAAGCATTTCGTGGTTTCTTAGTGAACGCGAGTTTCACAGCAAGTTTAGTGAAAGGATGCGTCTTGTCCTCAGGTCCTCGGCCCCTGTAGGCACAGCGCAGGGGGGTGGCCACGCGGGCGTAGGCGCCACGCTCGGCTGGAAGGCCCTGCTCGCCCTCCCCAGCCCCGGCCCCTCAGCTGCAAAGGAAGGCGCTTCAGGGCCAGGCGCCAGCACACAGCACAGTGGTCTTTGGGTGAGGCTGGTGGTAATATAGGCGGCTTTTTAAAATTACATTTTCCACATTTTGCGTAATATATTATTTTTGTAAACTAGTGATCATTTGGCCCCATCTCAGAAGAGTATTATGATTTCAAATGAAAGAGAACAACACGTGGGAACGAGTTGAGAGCTGAGCTCTCCGGGAGAGCTCGGCCCTCCCGGCCCCCGGGTGACACGCGCGACGCTGAGCATCGCCCGCTCTCCCACTCGGAGCCTGCGCAGTGCTGACCTCAAGGCGCCTGCTGTGGCTTGGTCTTCAGCACGCACAGGGGCATGTCAGTGTCTGCTCAGCACTCCTCATGACAGAGAAAGGCGGCCAACTCCTCACCAAGTGTCTTCAGTGTGGCAGCAACTTTGCATGGCCGTCGTTATATCCGTGATATGTCAGGTCTCGTGCACTGAGTGTAAGTTAGGTTTATTACTGCAGACAGATGCAGCCTACCCACTGAAAGCAGCATTAAATACCAAAACAGCCTGGGACTTGTGCTGAGTATGAAATGACACCCCAGGTGGTATGTTGCCCCCACCTCCGGCGGGCATGTCACTCCCCAGGATGCAGGCAGGAGGCGCCCGCCGGGGCAGGGCCGGCTGGTCTCTGATGGGACCTGCTGTGGTGCCAGGGCAGGGACCGGGGCAGAGCACCCTCAGCCCAGGCTCTTTCTTTGCTTCACACTCTTTCCTCAGCCCGAACCTGTACCACCTTGGGCCGTGGAGGGTGGGGATAGAGGGGGGGAATGGGGTAAAGGGGGCGTGGTCTCTGGATGCAAGTGGGATGTGGCTGTTGGAAACCCGAGCCCTCTGGCCGCGCCATCTTGGCGTCAGTGGGCCAGCGGCAGGCTGCTGGGCCTTGTTTTCTCGTTTCCTAGTGACCTTCCCAGCGAGCTCTTGTCCTCTTTACATAGAGGCTCAGGGAAGGCGTAGCCAGAGCACTTGCAGCAGCGCAGCAGCCAGGGCCTTGGTGGGATGGACTGACTTTAAGTCCCAGTTGCTCCTGCCCGTAGCCCGCCCTGTGCTCACCCGGGGCCGAGGGCGGCAAGCAGGTTCCCTGCGCAGAGGCACTGCATTCGTGAACATTTCTCAGTTGTGTCTAATGGTCATGTCCCAGTTCTCCACCAGATAATTATGGGGAAATAAAGTCGATGTCTTAAATTTCATATTTTCAGTTGAGAGAAAATACTTTATATAAAGCAACAGGGTTGTAGGCCAGTTTGGGAGTTAGAAACCCATTTTAATAGTTGATTTTAATCATTTAGACTAAAGGAACTGTGGGATTGGTATTTTATTTGAATTGTAAAAATGTTTTTATCTCAGAGTCTGAAAACATACTAATTTTGTATCATATCAATGTATTTGTATATTAAGTACATTAATACCAAATAACATTTCAGTCACTTTTTCTTGTCTTTCAGTGAGGATGAACTGGAAGAAGCAAATGGAAACAACCCCATTGACCTTGAGATTGATCAGAATAAGGAGAGCAAAAAGGAGGTATTTTTTCCCGTTAGGCAAATAGATGTTATTGCTAGTTCATAAGCAGACATTCCTTCCTCTCTCTTATTCTACTGAAGGCATTAACTGCTCTGTGGCACAGGGCACCATGATATGCATTTTGAGCAATAATAACCGGGCCTTAGAGAACTTAGCCTTGCGCTCGCCAGGAAGCATGAGTCAAGGAAGTCTTGAAGGAAAGATTGCAGTGACGAGTGACAGTGTGTCTAGCCGAGTCCTCGCTGCCACCTTTCCGGCGCTGGCTCAGCGCCTCAGAGAGGTCGGCCTGTGGCGCCCCCGCGCTGTCACGCCCGGGCTCCGCACACTCCTCTCCTTCCTCAGAAGCAACAGCGCAGGTCACGAGGTGAGCCTCCCCCGGTGAAGTGTAATCGCTCACATCCTGAAAGGCATGTGCCGGAGGTTTTTAGTGCTTGGGTTCAGGGGCCTGCCTCACAGAACCCCACAGTTGTGGGCGACTTTTGTAACCTGTCCGCTGAGAATAGGGGGGTGTTGGGAAGTTAGCCTTTTGAAATGGGGGTCGCAGTCTGGCATTATTTTGTCCATTCATCATATTGACTAAAGCACTGTGGGCCCTCCGAGGAAAGCCCGGCTCCGCGGCTCTGGGGGAACCCCACAATCAGCACTGCCTGCAGCAGGCCGGCCACGGGGTCCTCAGGCTGCGGTGCTGGCCCCACTGTGGGCAGGACCTTCACTGGCGGTCACGGGGGTTGTTCTGAAGGCAGAGCCTGTAGTTTCATAAACTTGAGGGTTCTCTGTCTCACAGGCTCTGAGGTCTGAGAACGCTGCTTCAGGCAGGAAAGTAGAAGGGTCTGGACAGGCCTAACCTTGACATGACACCAGTGCCCTGTGCTTCTTATGGACAAAGTACAAAATACAGCTAACCAAAAGGAGAAAATGAAACCACGTACACCATAGTCACCGTTCACACGTTCCTCTGTAAGGAGTGTGTGGGCGCTGGGTAGCTCAGTTGGTTAGAAGGTTGTCCCTATCCACCAAGGTTGCAGATTTGATCCCTGCTTGGAGCACATACAGAAATCAACCAATGCATGTATAAATAAGTGGAACAATAAATGGATCTCTCTCTCCCTCCCCCTCCCTCCCTCCCTCCTTCCTTCCCTATCCCTTTCTCTCGCTCTCTAAAATAAAATTTTAAAAAATGTTTTTAAGTAGCCCTAGCCGGTTTGGCTCAGTGGATAGAGCATCGGCCTGCAGACTGAAGTGTCCTGGGTTCGAGTCCAGTCAAGGGCACAGGCCCAGGTTGCGGGCCTGGTCCCAGTAGGGGGCGTGTAGGAGGCAGCCGATCAATGATTCTCTCTCATCATTGATGTTTCTCTCTCTCCCTCTCCCTTCCTCTCTGAAATCAATACAAATATTTTTTTAAATGTTTTTAAGTATATGCCTATATACTTAATTCTGTATAAATATTTATTTTAAAATATATAAATGGGATCTTTATCTATCTATATATAAATTTTATAACCTTTCAAATTTACTCTGTTTATGTCAAATACATTTGTATACACAACTGTGCCGGGGCTGACAGCAGACCCTGAGCGACAGATGAATGATGACTCTAACACATATTTCTGTGAAAGAGAGGCTAAGGCACTACTTGGCTATTGCCGCCAAGTAGCCCTATTCTCCTGCCGCCTTTGGCTTTTATTGTCTCAACAGCTTGAACTAAAATTAACCTCTAGATACAATCAGCAGGCCAGGCATCCTTGAGAAAGCTCATGCTTCTACAAGGCCGGGTTTTAAAAGACTAAACAGAGATTCTAGCAAAACACCCCAGGGGATCGGACTTGCTTGGAGAAGTCAGGGCAGGGCTGCCGCCTTCGGCCAGGTCCCCCCAGAGGCCCCGGCCTTTCAGAGACTCCTCCTCACAGACATCCAGCCAGTCCCGTGCTTCCCCTCACAACTGTGTGTTAGTCCATCATACAGCGCGTTCATAATTGAGGAAATTAATCCTCGTGGGTTTTTACAGTTCTGCCCCTGCTTTTTGCTGTCATAAACAATGCTGATTTCATAACTAAGTATTAGTGCACTTAATTTTTCCCTTTACAGTTAATTTCTGGATGTTGAAAGTTGGGTCAAAGTGTTCTAGATATGTTTTTAAGGCTTCTTTGGTGTGGTTATATCACCAAATGGGGAACTAGTCATTCTTTCCCAATGGCACTCTGCCAGCAATTTATATGAGTCCAAATAACAAGATTGCTTTAAGGCAGGGGTCCTCAAACTACGGCCCGCGGGCCACATGCAAATACAAATACTGTATTTGTTCCCGTTTTGTTTTTTTACTTCAAAATAAGATATGTGCAGTGTGCATAGGAATTTGTTCATAGTTTTTTTTTAAACTATAGTCCGGCCCTCCAACGGTCTGAGGGACAGTGAACTGGCCCCGTTTAAAAAGTTTGAGGACCCCTGCTTTAAGGTTAGTTCCGTTAAGACTGTCTGAGAAATCAAATTGGACTTGGAATGCTTAGTGAGCTTTGTTTTGTCGCACTGTCTACTAGGTTCTTCAATGGAACATTTTAAATGAAGAGAAAAGGTTGATTTTATATTAATTTCTGTAATTCTTATTTATATAGCTCAGTTTCTGAGTCAAAAAGTAAAATGCTTAAATCGTAGTTTACACGCTTAAGTGTTATTAAAACAGACACGCTGCCCATCGGAGGTCTTTGCTGAACAGCGTAGTGCCGTGATGGCATCGCGGGCCTCTGCTAGCGCTGCGGGACGCACTGCCGCTGCCAGTCTGCATGGCCTTCAGCTTGGTCTCACAATGTGAAGATATTCTCAGTTTATCAGCAAAGACATACACTTCTTGCTCTTAAAAGGCTTAACAGGGAGACGTTGCCTTTCCTGGCCAAGGTTCCACTGCACTTCATTTCTGCAGGTTTTGGATTCAGAGAGAAAGCGCTTAAAAAATTAGCAGCAGCTGTGCATTTCAATGACAGCTTATATTTTTTGAATGAGATTTTTAGGGCACAGTTGCCCTAAAAGTTAAATGTCATTCCCCCAAAAAATGTGTAAAAAGTCACAGTTTCATATTGAAGTTTGTATATTTTTAAACTTGTATAAAGATTTAAAGAATTTAAATGGATCTTTATACATATGCTGAACCAACCTACCTTCCTTCCTCCTTTCTTCCTCCTTCCCTCCC